CCCCCCCCCCCCCCTCCCCCCCAACCGGTACCCCCCCATTTCTCAGCAGATGGAACATGGCTTCCCTGGCTCGGCTGCCCCCCAACATCGCCCGGCTGGTCGGCATTCCCTTGGCAGAGTCGGCTGCGACGACTCCTCGCCGTTTCGACAGGGGTTTCGCGTTGGCTGGGGGGCTTTTCGTGGGGGGAGGGGGAGGGGGTGACGTGAGGGCGGGGACCGCGATGACTACCCCCGAAGTGCTCCGGTCCACGAGGTGTTTGGTGATGTGTAGGGCCTTCCCAATGTTCTTCATTCTGTCGAAATTTTACGCGTTGTTTTCTTCTTTCTTTCAACAATGCAGAGTTTGCTGGTTCTTGGGCCAATACTGCCCGAGAAAATGCCCTCATTTCTTGTAGGTGCGTCTTTCGGCCGATTCAATTATGCTGAAATCGGTCAAATATGCTCGATTGTGCCCAGATTTTGATGTCCTATNGGGGGGGGGGGGGGGGGGGGGGGGGGGGGGGGGGGGGGGGGGGGGGGGGGGGGGGGGGGGGGGGGCGTACTCCTATGTTTTGCATGCCTTCGCGATTAGACCATTGACCACGCGTCCTCGAGCATGATGGGGAAGCGCCTAACAAGGTGTTGCTGTTGATGGTGGTGGTGGTGTTGCTGTTGGTATTTCTGTTGTTGCCGTTGGTATTTCTGTTGTTGCCGTTGGTATTTCTGTTGTTGCCGTTGGTATTTCTGTTGTTGCCGTTGGTATTTCTGTTGTTACCGTTGGTGTTTTCGTCGTTGTGGTGTTATATGTTCGGGTATCTGCGCAGTACCTTCGAACACCCGTACCTCCAACTGCGGCGTTGATGCTGTCTTCACGTTAGAAGCCATGTCCAGTCTTCTGCTCAGTAGTACCAACTGACGCGGACGCGGTAACAGGGCAACCACACCCGAAAAGGTGCTCGCTTCAGCCAACCGAAAAATTCAAGGACCCAGGCAACCATGTTTCGTCTTTTTTATTTTTTGGTATCTTCGACGGCTTTATTGATTGGCTGTCTCTCTTGCAATAACGGACCGATTACAAATGTGCTTGGCGTTCCAGCGAACACACTTCTCACGGTTCATGAGTCTGCTGTGACCGAACACTGTGGTAAAACATCGAAGGAACCGGGCTGCAATTATCAGTAGCCTTCGTCGGCTTTTTCGATTACGTCAACATGTTGGATAAATAAAGCATACGATCGGGGAATTTGGGTGACGATTTCGGTTAGGGATGGGGTTTGCGCCACCCGTCCCTGTTCTACTTCCTCAAAAAGTTATTAATCTCGTGAAGGCGGTCCGCACTATTTTACTTTGTGCTCTCTCCTGTTTTTCGTTCTCTCTCTCTTTTTTTTTGTTTTTGCGAGCAGCCTTCGCAGCCGGTCCGCCGTGAGAAACGCGACCTCTACTCCGCAGCATCAGGCCGGAGGAGGGGGTGGGGGTGCTGCTGTAACCCACGTCACCCCCGCCAGGGGCACTCCCAGCGAGAGGAGGCTTTTCTCCCCGGAAGATTCCAACAGGTAAGATAGAATACTATTAGGCCGGGTTCTCATTCTTTTGCTCTCTGTTTTTTGGCTAGCAGGAGTTTTCTTTTTCTTCTTTTTTTTCTCGCTTCCGTATATGAAAAAGAAGCTGGGCCGGCAATGGAGGAGAGAGGGGTTGGCTCCGCGGCGATCCTTACCCTGAATGAATTGGAACCTGAACCAAATGTACCATTCACCAAACCATGCCCATTTTTCCAATAATAATAATCGAAAAAAGGTGGGGCGGCCAAGGAGGAGGGTGTGGTTCTGCGGCCCGCCTTACTCCGTCGGAGGTGGCTAAGGCCGGAAGGAGAGCAATCGCTGTACGTCCTCAGGACGTTGGGGACCTCATGAAGGTATGGTGGAACTCATGGAGCTGTAACATTTATCATGGCCCATTGGGGACGTCATGAGTAATATGCTGTCCGGTGACCTATGAAGGTATGGTGGGCCTCATCGAGGTGAACCTTATCCAGGTGTAACATTTGTCATGATCCGTCGGGGACGCCATGAAGGGTAACGTGTTTAACACGCCGCTTGGAAATCACATGATGGCAAGGTGTCGAGGTGTAACGCATTTCATGTCATTTGGAAAACTCATCAAGGTGAGGTGGACGTGTGCTTGAATCGTTTATCCCGTTTGGAGACCTTAATTTGAACCTGTGCATCATCGTAACATGCCGTTTGGAAACTCGCATCAAGGTGAAGTGAAGGTGTGACTGTATCATACCGTTTGGATTCCCCATTGAAGGTCAACTTGTTTCCTTGGAGCATGGCGTTTGGAAACCTATGTAGAGTAAAGGGGAACGTGTGACGTGCATGGTCTTGTCGCAGGGTTAAGGTGTTGAGATGGGAAATGAGTAGCTGTCGAGTGTTGTGAAGTTCAGTGGAGATCATTGGGTTGCCGTCGGGGGTGATGTGAAGTGACTCCGGGCCGTGCGGGAATGCGGCGCATAGGGGAATGCAGGACTGTAGGAGAGGAAGGGCCGCCTGCTGTTGGGAGTGTTCTTCAGCGACCCCATGAACAATGAACCGGGTTGCTGTTACAGGAGGGTTCGTATGAAGTGACTCGGGGTGAACGAAGTGGGTTACCTTTTGCGGAGGGTAGTGTAAGTATCTCGCTGTTACGTACGGGTGTTACGGAGTGATCAGGCGTAGTGAAATGAGTTGCTGTTTCCATATGGGCGGTTTGAAACGAGTGGGGGTAATGAAATGGATTCATAGCGGTGGTGTTCTGGAGTGAGTCGGGGGTAGTGGAATCGGTTGCTGTTACGGTAGGGGCGGTACAAGGGGAATGGTGGGTAGGGAATTAGGTTGCTGTTTCACTAGGGTTGGTATGAAGTAGCTAAGGGCTCACGAAAGATTGCTGTTCGGGGTGTTGAATAGGACGCTCCACCATTCCAATAATCTTTGGTGTTCGCATTTGAAAGAAACTGAGGGTTCACTCTTCGCCAACTACCGTAGGTTAGATACGTAAGATATCACACCCCCTGAACCGTTTTTCGAAGCTCGATTTCTCGGCAGGAGAGGCAGCGACGGCGCCGAAAAAGGCGGCATCGGAACCGTCTCGTCGAGCGCTTTCCGAAAACATGTGGTAGTTAAGTTTCGGCATTCTCTTGGTCGTGGAGTAATCGAGCTCCGGAAATCGGTCCAGGGGGTGCGATATGTTATACAACCTAGGGTATACCAACTGCAAGACCCCATCGACTCGAAGTCGCGTGATGACCACATCTCTTCATTTCCAGACAACGAGGGAGGGACCGCCTTCGCCAGGAACCAAGTTTGTGAGGAAAAAGGACATGGAGGGGGCACGCGGACCCTTGCCCTATCCTTTCCCTCACTTTTTCCAACGTGTGTACTCAGTCGAGAAGCTCACGAGGAAATAGAACATGGAAGGGGCACGCGGACCTTTTCCCCACCTTCACCCTGACTTTTTCCAACGTGGTTACTCAGTCGAAAAACTTTTGAGGCAAAAGAACATGGAGGGGGCACGCAGACCCCACCCCCTAACCACAAGAACTTAAAGCCAACCGATGGGAGGAGGCACCAGGCAACCTAGGGATTGGGTTGGAAGGTCTCGCTTTCCCTCTAGAGGAATATCTTGAAAGGCTCCTGTTTGTGCCCCGTTTTCCAAACACGCTCCGGCCACTTGTGTGTCTAAAAGCCCCAATAAAGATCCCCTCAGAGTCTAGGAGACAATTGATAAGGATTATTGACAAGAGACGGCTCAGGTGGGAAGGCAGCGTTGCACTTGCACCCAAGGATGGAACTGCCTTCGCCATCCAAACAGTAAGCAAGCGTTGTGCGCTCTCTGCTAATGCGTATAGTCGCCCCGGTGGTCTTGTTGTTATCCCCGAAACCTTCTGGAGGTCAGGTCAGGGGTTCGAATCCCGGTGTTAGCGAGCTTTTTTTGCAAAGTGAGTTTTTCTCTCGCTTCCGCTCCTGGCCTAGTGGATAGCGCTAGTTCGTGGGTACACACAGGGAAGGGAGTGCTGAACTGTTCTCGCGTTAAAAATCGAAGGCAAAGTACTGCAGGAGGGGAGGGTAGAGAGGGGCTCTTCTTTGTGACTACGGGTTGGAGTAAACGGCACTAGTGCTGTGAGCGCTGATTTGAAGTGAAGACAAGAAAAAAAAAATAGTGAGATCCCGCTCTTGCCACAGGCGAAAGGTGTCGTCCGCCACCGGACAGTGCGCCTAAATCTGGGTTCAGTACATCACTAACGTTGGTCAAAGGTTGTGCAGAGTTTTTGACAGAGTGACCAGATATCGTTGAACGCTGCTTGTGCGCGGTCGGCTTTACTCCTCAGGAGCGGTGTCAAAGGGGGGCAGTGGTCGTTTGAAACCGTTGGAAACAACATCATTCACTGTCTCCCGATGTTCGTCGGAGGCCAGAGGCTAGCATTCGTAGCTATCACGAGACACGTCATGAATTGGCTCTGCCTTTTCACGCATGACCGACCTCGTGCGAAATCCCTAAGAGCCTCCAAGATTGCGTCGCCGAACGACCTTGAGAATGACTACAACTGTGCGAATGTAACGGAAATCCGGTAAGCGAGAAGGTAGCATTTTGCGTGCCATTCTGAGCGTTTACCTTAGAGGTCGCGAACTAATTCCGCATTCGCCACATTTTATCCAGGCTATTGTAACGGCTCAGCAGCGGTACTCGTTGCAACCGGAAAACGGTCAGACATCATCACAGAAAACTCGTCGTTGATCATGATACGTGTGATCCCGACAATCCAAGTCTCGTTTAGGCTAAAAATACCTTGGGAGTGCGTGACGTTGTTCACGGCAGTACGGTACTTTCCCTCGCAAAAATTCTCCAAAAGTAGTTCCCTTGGGTATGCTGAACATGTTCAGCATTGTCAAGGCGTCTGCACGGGCTTCATGCCTGAAGTGGGACGCGATCAGACGATGAAATTGTGTGAAAGCTTCTCCTCCGTTTATAGCGTCGTCCATACGCTGAATCACCTGCACAATCATGCCATTTATTTAGCTACTGGGGTCACCCTGTTGATGGCTGTCTTCAGCGGGTTTTCCCGCCCGCGAATCCACGTACTGGATTTGTCAATATCGATGAAAGGCGCAGGCTGTTGCAAGATATCTAAGGCTGCGGCCTGAATAGCGTCTAGCAACTGCGGCATTGCCTGTTGAAGGTTTGCCGGCCTTGGGATGGTTGGTTGGATGCGAACATCCCCAAAGTTCGTCTTGATGTATTTGGCGCTGATCTCTCGGACTCGCGCACAAGCTGCAAGGGCTTCGGCATTTTCATCTCTGCCGTGCGAGCACGAGCTGTCGTTGACGACAGCGGTTGAGTGCTATGGCCTACGAATGAACTGTTGCGTGACAGCAATGAGTGATCGGTGGCTGGAACATCGACCAACCAAGGTACCGTAGGTTGCGTAAGATATCACACTCCCTGGACCGGTTTTCGAAGCTTGATATCTCGGCAGGAAAAGTGGTGACGGTGACGAAGATGGCGGCGGTGGAACCGTCTCGTCGAGAGCTTTTCGATGACGTATACTTCAATTTCGGCATGCTCCTCATCGTGTACCAATCGAGCTTTGAAAATTTGTCCAGGGGGTGTGATATCTTACGCAACCTACGGTACTTGCCTGTCCTCACGTCGTGCGGCCAGAGGTTGGTCCACTTGCGCCTCCACTTGGTGCGGGGTAGGTGGGACAGGTACCGTAGGTTGCATACGTAAGATGGCATACCCCCTGAACCGATTTGCAAAGCTCGATTACTCCACGACGAAGAGGATGTATGAATCACCCGATGCGTTATCGGAAAATTCTCGACACGGGACGGTTACAACGCCGCCATCTTGGGCACCGTTTCCACTTTTTCCTACCGAGATGTCGAGCTTCGAACATCGACCCAGGGAGTTTGATACCTTTATGCAACCTACGGTATGTCCTCCGGTGAATGATCCTCATGGGGCGGTTCCTGATAGCCTTCGCTGCTGCTGCTCCTGCGATCTACGGTGGCAGCCGTGGGATGTGTCCCCTGTGCCGGAGCTGTTGGCTGCCGCGGGCTTGCGCGCAAGCAGCTGCGAAACCCGGACTTATCGCCCTTGGCTTCTGACAGCTTTTGCCCCGTCCGTTTTCCACGGTGCGTTTTCGTAGAGCTGCTCGTGGAAACTGATGCCGATGTATCGCTTTCGCTCGCTGCGGAGGACCGTGATACCGCGCGAGCCTCGCGCGTTGACGGTGCTCGGTGTGTTGACCCCGACCATCCGTGCGGCCACAACCGCGGTTGCCGGAGGAAAGCCCCGGCCGCTACCCTGACCTCGGCTGCCACGGCTTTGGGAACAGCTTCTGCTGTGATTCCCTTGTTCCTTTTTCACTCTTGCTGCGGGAGACCACTGGGAAGTCAACGTTCTGCTGGCGAATGCCGCGAAAGCACCGAAGGTCGTTGGTATTGTCTTGGGCGGCCGGTACCAGTTGACGTGCTCCTGGCGGCAGCCGTTTTGGTTGGCACAACGTCCCCTGAGACCATGGAGGAGATTTGTTTAATTATCCGTCAACGACATATCCGGCGTCGGGTCGTGAGCGACGCGCTGCAGGAATTCGCGGAGAGTGACGTTGGTTTCTCCGCCTTATGCAACAACGCCAGCAATGCTGTAGCAGCCTCGGTAACCGTCGACCTAAGGTTTGCCGGGGGAGGAGTAGTGGACGTGCGCCAAATTCGCAACAGGCACGCAACAGAACCACTCGTCCCCAAGCTTAAGGCAGTCCGGAAGGGAGTAAAAGTAGGCGACACGGAAACGTCGGTGTCAGGAGTGCTGTTTGCGGATGATTTTGTCGGTATGTCGGACTCCCCTGAGGGACTGCAACTGCAAATTGACGCGGCGAAGAAGTTTACTGATACGTGGAGATTGTCTGCCAACGTTCAGAAGAGTGCCGTCATGGTATACAACGAGAACAAGGAGGAACCAGTTGAACAAAGTAGATGGAAGTGGGGGATCGAGGAGATTGCAGTATTGGACCAGTATTCATGTCTCGGAGTAGAGATCGCAAGAGACTGCTCGTGGATTGTACACATGTCCAAGGTAGCGGAAAAGGGCAAAGCACGAGCAGGGAAGCTGCACCCAATACTCGCAAACCGGCACCTCGATACACGCATCAAATTGACGGTTTTGAAGAGCGTAATCGTACCGCCGCTAGAGTACGCCGGAGAAGTATGGGAAGGAAATAAGAAGGTAGTGAAAGAACTCGAGGCGGCGCAGATGAAAGCAGCGAAAATCATCCTAGGATGCTCCACGCGCACAAGTAATGCAGCCGTGAGGGCAGAATTGGGGATCCAATCCCTACGGTCGGGAAGAGACGCGAGGAAGCTGACCTGGCAGTATCGCATGTGCGGGATGGGAGAGGAGAGGTTGCCGAGAATTGTATGGGAGGCGAAGTGGGCAAACAAAAAGAAGTTTAGACAACCCACGGAATGGGTCAAGGTTGTAGAGGACGTATGGAAGGGGCTCGACATCGACGAAGATGAAACGCTGGAAACGGAGGATCTAAAGGGGTTCAAGAAGAAGATATCTGTGGCTTGTGCCGAGAGGGATAAACAGAATCTGAGGAAAGAATCCAAGGATAAGGAGGGTCTAGAAGTGTACGGAATGTTGAAAGAAGGAATAGGGTGCAAATATGACCCACATGGACCAATGGAGTCAGGGACAAAGCTTGAGGTCAAATTCAGGACCGGGGACATAGGCCTTCGAGAACGTCGACGAAGACATAGGACGGTAGACGAGGAAGACGACGAGTTCAAATGTGATTGCGGCTTCGAATGCGAAGACCGTGTTCATGTAGTCGCGGAATGTCCGTTGTACAAGAAGGAGAGGGAAGTGTACGTGACTGAGCTGGGAAAAATAGATGGAACGTACAGGGAGATGTTTGAGGCATGGAATAGAGAGGAAAGGACGGTAGCTGTACTGGGGCATAGGAGGTGGGTTGAAAAGGCGGGAAGGGATATCGTTAGGATAGACAGACTAGGGAAGACATTTTTGAGCCACCTTTGGCAAAGTAGAAAGGAACGATTGGCCATCGGTGATCGGTGCTGCGGGAACAATGCTCTGTCCTCTCGAGGACGCGTGGTCAATGGTCTATCCGCGAAGGCATGCAAAACATAAGAGTACGCCCCCCCCCCCAAGTTTAAGGCTCAGGTCCGGCGATCCTTGCGGCATCTGGCTGTAGGACGGGAAGGCCTGAGGCGGTGACACATAGCCACACCCCTAGCGATGGACAGCGGTGGGTGTAACGACAGCCCTTGCCGCCATGATGGCATACCGTACCCCGGAGGGCCGGCGTGCTGGGGCTCAGAACCAAGGTCATTCGAGCGAGCCGGTTAGCGAGCGCCATGTGCTGCGAGCCAAAATCCCGAAGGACGGGCAACCGGAGGCTCCGCACCGAACCCTTGGGAGGATCGAACCAAATCCCGTAGGATCGGTGAGCGAGTGGATCAGCGAAGCATACCCCGAAGGGTAGGTGCGAGCCTGCTGCGAACCAGGTTCTCGAGAGCCGTCTAGCTTGGTGGACGATGCGGGGACGGCTTCGTCCATAGCTCCGTATTGTAGAGCGAGNAAAAATCGGAGAGCATCCGTGTGGGAGTATAAATCAGGCGGCTCCTACAGCGCCAAAAGCAGGCACGAGAGCGCCAGGCCGCGTGTGCAGAGCAGGCCAAAGCAGCAGCCGCGGCCAAGACCAGCGTCGCTCGACATGGAAGTAAGGGCGGCGCCGTTCCGGCCTCGCCCACCAAGCTCGCCGGCTCTCACGAGCCTGGTTCGCAGCACGCTCGCACCAACCCTACGGGGGATGGTTCGCTGAGCCACTTGCTACCAATCTGCAGTATGCCGGCTCGGCGTTTGGTGCTGTCGGCCCTGTTGCTATTGCATAAGGCAAACGAACCCGTATTCGGGACAAGAATGGAACGAAGTGCCCCTCTGCAAGCGAATCCAAATTCGGCGCAATATGGACCGAAGCACCCCTCTACAAATTATTCCGAAACCGGAACAACAATAGGTCGAAGCGCGTATCCAAATATTTGCACAAGAAAGGATCGAGGCACCCCGCTAGATACAAACGAAGCCAGATTCGGCACAAAAATGGCATGACGGCGTTTGCCTGTCGGGGCAGACGTCGACGCTAGCAGCAGGGAGGGTGGGGCCACGTCGAAAGCGTTGAAATGTTTTCCCCGGTGTCTTCGATTGTTCACGGTACAGCAGGGCAGAAGACAGTGATCGGCTTTGCTCAGCAGTGTCCAAAATTTCAACGTGTTGTCGCGGTAGGGAGAAAGAGAATGATCGACTTTACAAAGTGTGCAAATTTCAACGTGTTTTCGTAAGACAGTGATCGGCTTTGCACAGCAGTGTCCAAATTGTAACGCGTTGCCGTGGGCGTGGGACTCAAACACACTGGCCTTTGTGGCGAGTGTCTTCGAGAACTCACGGCAGGGAGAAAAACAATGATCGGCTTTACGCACTGTCCAAATTTCAGCGTGTTGTCGCCCGACAAGATGTTGAAATCTGGACACTGTGCAAAGCCGATTATCGTCTTTCTCCGGAAAGGGATCCCTGAGCAATACCACTTGATGAATCAAGTTGTGTATTCGGGGACGCTGGAGCAAGACCATTGCACCGTGAACAATTGAAAATCCCCTGCAAAAGAAGTACCAAAGTCTTTGAGACCGCCCCACCCCGCCGGCTGCTAGTGGTGACGTCGACAACACGTTCCAATTTGCATGCTCTTGCTCAAGCCGATCTCTATCGTTCTCCCTACGCCGTGAATACGGTATATGACACAAGATAACACACCGCCTGGACCGATTTTCGAAGCTCGATTACTCCACGACGAAGAGGATAAACGAAACGATACATTTTCGAAAAGCTCTCGACGAGACGGTTTCAATGCCGCCGTTTTCGGCGCTGTGACTGTTCCTGCAGTTGAGAAATCGAGCTTCGAAAATTGGTCAAGGGGGTGTGTTATCTTGTGTCATGTACGGTAAATCGTTCCGTTCTTTTCATCCAGTACCTTCTTCTGTCCGTACTACAACCGTGAAACCTTGACGCGGTCGATTCCCTGCGGTGGTCACATGCCTACTTACCCCCTAGACAGTATACTGTGTATACAACACTCGAGGGGCTCGGCGGGAAAGGAATATTTCGAGACGGTCCTACCCTCCATGCTGCTCACAGCCTTTACCGTCTCTTTTCATTCACTAGACATACTGGATAAGGCTTGCAATCGGGGAAGTTGGGTTGGGTATGTAGGGTCTGCGTGGCCCCCCCCGCCCCTGTTCTCTTTTCTCGTCAACTTATTTTCTCGCGAAGGCGGTCCCTCTTAGGCTAACCCTTGTCCCTAACCGCACCCCACGCTGCTTTAGGTCTACGATGAGAGACACGTCACGCCTGCGCCAGCAGACCCTGCTTCACAGGTATGCAACCGTTCCGAGTTCACGCGATTTTTCGTAGATCCTGTACACGGCAGTGGTCCCGGCATTATGCCGGTAGAATATTGTCATCTGGCACAGATGGAATATGTTGTTTCTTGCAAGTTGGCCGATATGTTGCTGGTGAAATCGTCTGGCACAGATGGAATATTCAAAGTTGTTTCATACTCTAAAGGTTGTCGGTTGCCCGCTATATTGCTGGTGAAATCGACTGGCACAGATGGAATACTGAAGTTGTTCCATTTTGTACTCTAAGGGGCGTCGGTGTTGCATGCGCTGCCGCTTGTTGCTGCTGTTGCATCTGGTGAGGTGTTGTTACTGCTACTGCTGGTGCTGAAGCTGAATCGCGATATTCTGCTGGGGACGCACCCTGCGTCCCAAGCCAAAACCTAGCCCCAGCCATCTCCCCCCCAATCGCACCGTGCTCTCGAGGGCGCGTGGTCAATGGTCTAATCGGTAAGGCACGCAAAACATAAGAGTACGCCCCCTCCCCCCCCCTTTCGCCTGTGCCCCTTCCTTCAGGCGAACAGCGGGGGGTACGCGACTGGTCAGGGCCTAGGGCCGGGGGGGTTCGCTGTGGCCCTGGGCACAGGAGGGGCTCAGGCGCTAGCGCTTGGGGGGGGTGCGATCCAAGGGCGGGGGGTTGGTATCGGTGGCTACTACGGCAACACCCTGCAGTGGGGCGACGCCGGAGGTTGGGCGGGCGGCGGCGGCGCCGGTGGTGGGAGTGGTCGTGCTTGGGAGTATGAGGTATGGCACAGTTCTCTTTTTCACGTGCCTTTTCATTGTTCGTGCCCTTTTTTTTTTTGGGCCTATTTTTCAAGGGTGGTTCGGTAACGTATTGACGAAGTACCGAAGCTTACCGAGAATTCCGGTAAGGTATTGAAAATGTTCCGAAGTATACCGTGAATTTTGGTAAGGTATTGAAAACGTACCGAAGTGCACCGAGAATTTCGGTAAGGTATTGACATAGTACCGAGGCATGTACCGGTACCCTCGGTATTTGTCGAGGGTATACCGATATTTTCGGTAAGGTACTGAAAAGTTCCGAAGTATACATAGGTTTTCGGTAAGGTGTTGAAAAAGTACCGAATTATACCGAGATGTTCGGTAAGGTACTGAAAAAGTACCGAAGTATACCGAGACGCTCGGTATGGTAAATACCGGCGGTACCGCGTATGCCTAGTAGTAACCTTTCCGAACACACCCTTGCTATTTTTTTTGTGTTGTGTACCTGCCTGGTTTGATTTTTTTCACGACGTGCCGGTAGCGTGTAGCGTTGATTTCGTGTGTGCTGATGGTTTGGTCATGTGACGTATGCACATGGTGTTTCGTTTTTGTTTCTTTTTGTCTTTTATTACGTGCTGGTAAATTAATACGTTGATTTCGTGTGTGCTGATGATTTGGTCCATGTGAGGTGTGGCGTTTAACTTTTGTTCTTTCCACATGCCGGTAACAACTGTGGGGCTTTTCTTCGTGTGTGCTGATGGTTCGGGGCTACAGAGGAAATAATGCGAGTTTTTTACACGTAGCGGTAGCGTGTGATGTTGGTCGGTTTGGCCATGACGGTGGGTGGTTTGGGCATGATGTAAGTTGGTTGATGTTTTCGCAAAAATGACCGTTCCACTCTCCCCTCTACACCTGAAGCAAAGTGGGCTCCTTTGAGAGCACAAGCGTCATCCAATGGGTGACGCAATATGAATAATTTAGGAGCAGGCAGCTTGGCAAGACCACAGCTTGTATCTCGCAGGTCAAGGTCTGATCCGTTGACGTCTGGACAGCACCCGCTCTTGACGTTGCTTATTTTTGTTGAACCTCGTTTCGAAGCGCGCTCCTGTGTTCTCTCTTTCTCTGTGTGGGCATCGATTTTTTTCTGTAGCACCAGGTGGAGCTCGTGTATAGTTTGTTTATTTTTGTTGGGGCTTTCTCCAAGCGTTCTGCTTAAGGCTGCCAACGCCGACGCTACGTTTGATTCCGTGTGCTCTCTCAGGCTGTCGATTATGTTCTGTGGTGCCAGATGAACAGCATACCCTCGTGTGTGTTGCGTTGTTTGATGTTGGAGCTCTTCTGCAAGCACTCTCCCTGACATCAAGATCTAGCCAAAGTGGAAGAGAAATAGGAGTATCACACAAAGCATCAAAACCTTGCTAATTGTAATGGTGCAGAAGAAAAGCAATATGTAGCGCTGCCGACGGCGACGCCGCTGCTCTTCCTCTCTTGTGTACGACGATTTTTATTGTGTGGTGCCAGGTGTACCAGGGCGACTCCGCTCAGGAGGGCCACGGTGGAAGGGAGGACGAGTCCGACAAAGAACGCGCAAAACAGTGAGTACAACGCTTATCCAGTAGTGTACGCAGTTTTTTCTCAGTAAGCAACCATACTGGGAAATATATCGAATGGGCTGAGTTGGGGTTTGGTGTATTTCCGCGGTATACTTCCTTTCTTTGCGTAGGCATAAAAGTCTATGCAGTTTTTTCTTCGAAGTAAGCAAACATCGTGAATATGGTGTCGAATCGTCTACGTTGTGGTTTGGCCTATTTCTTAGAAAACTTACTTTCTTCGCGTAGACCAAAGCTGTGTTCGGTCCCTTTTCCATGGTTCTTTTTTGTCCGTGACGGTGTTGGTTCTGAAAATACCACGTCGAAATCGGAAAAATCATTCACTTCGCCTGTTGTTGACTACGACTGATAGGGGAACATACACAGAATACAGACGTGTGGAGTTACTTTGTGTGTTTCCACGGATACGAGTCTGGGATAGAGTAGCAATGAATTCACAGCGTTCTAGATGACCGGTCTGTATTTGTGCGGTTGGTCTACATTCCTTCACGAAGCTCTTTGATTTATTGTTCCGAAAAGTCATTTGTTCACCCCCCTGACTTACTGACCACGGCTCTTGTTCCCCGTGTCGGGCAAACATTTTTTGTTGGCGTCGTGAGCATTTTTGTTGTTGTGCCTCTCTTCAAGAGCACAAGCAAACCCATCTTTCTCACACCCGTTGAGGTGCAATGCGATGATGGTCCATCTTCACCTCCACTGGTTGCTCGCGCAGGCTGCTAGTTTCCCTCGGGATCGCCGACAAGACCGACGATTACACAAAGAACGTCAAGACGTACATGGTTGGCCTCATGAGGTAAGCGAGGGAGTCTTTGCTGTCGTTCGTTTGTCCTGTGTTTGTATACGTAAGATAGCGTGCGTCGGCCGTTCAGGGGGGGAGTCGTAACTCACTCCCTTGCTTTGTCTCTTCCCCCGTGGTTGCGTGCGTAAGATATCGCACGTCGGCCTGGGAGTCTTTTCGTGTTGACCTTCACTCCTTGGCTATTTGGTCTCTTGCCCCACATAGCGTGCGTCCGCCGTTCAGCGGGGGAGTCGTAACTCACTCCCTTGCTTTGTCTCTTCCCCCGTGGTTGCGTGCGTAAGATATCGCACGTCGGCCTGGGAGTCTTTTCGTGTTGACCTTCACTCCTTGGCTATTTGGTCTCTTGCCCCACATTGTTGCATGCGTAAGATTCCGTACGTTGGCCTTGTGGGGTGAGCGGGGGGGTCTTTGCTCGTTGTCACTCTCTCATTTGTGTGTTTCTCTTACCCCATGTTGTATTGTTGCATACATGTGTCGACCTTTTGAGGTGGGTAGGGGAGCCTTTTCGTGTTGTCGTAAGAACTCACTCATTTGTCTTTTGTCTCCTCCTCCGTGGTTGCATGCGTATGATAACACCCCCCCTTGGACCGATTTTCCACCCCGCTTAAGAACGATTTTCAAGGTTCGATCACCTCATGACGAGGATACGCCAAAAGAAAATCGGGATACGTTTGCGGGATAGACTTGTCTCGACGACACGGTTCAAGCGCGCACATGTTCTGCACCGTCACCGCCGTTTTCGCTGCAGAGTAGTCGAGCTGTGATCATCGGTCCAGCCGGTTGGTGAGATGTCTACCCGAGTCATATTGTAGCACCGTCGGTGCTCGTCCATCATGCAGACTATCCTATCTCAGCACCTCAGGGCGCCACGCAGAATGAACGATTGTTTTCAACCGAAACCCCCACAACTATCCACACCTGCGGGGGCGCTGTTTCTGTCCCTGCGGTGCTGTCCGCTCTACACTTGACTCTCTGCATCGACACCTAAGGGGACCTCTCGGAATGAACGACTCATTCGAACTGATTCCCCGTCCCCCAGCCATCTTCTACCGCTTCTGATACAATTCCTGCGCTCCTGTCCGCTCCATATTCCACGATCTGTCTCTCTGTCTCGACGCGTACGGGGGCCACGCAGAATGAAGGATACATTCAACCGTACCCCCGCCGTCCGTTTGTCCCTACCGGTGCGCGGTTGCTCTTCCTGCGGTCCTGTCCGCTTTGTATGTGCGGACACCCCTACCTTCGTGCTCCAATAGGGGGGCACGCATATCGATCGGGTCCTCCCCCCGCCCAGCCGTCTAGACCAACATGGATTTCGGCTCGTTTTTTTCTCAGGCGGGACTCTGCTTCATTCCATGTCCCCCCTAATTTGAGCAGTGATTACGAACAAGTGTGTGAAGATTCCTCCTCTTTTTCATGCCACCAAACACTGTGTGAAGCGTCGCGGTACGCTCCAACGCGCGTAGTCTCCCGCCCCCCTCCCCCGCAAGAACGTTTTGCCCTTCAACGGCCCCATGTCATGGCTCACTAGGACATATCAGCGTATGCTGTGTCCCCGGCCCCACAACAGCGCCTTCCCTTGAATGGCCTGGCCTCATTTCATGGCCCACAAAGGCGTATCAGCGTATGTTTTGTCACCCCGAACCCCGCCCTCCACCCACTGACGGTTTTGTCTCAGGACATATCTGAGGCACTTCGAGCAAGTGTGTCGCCTTTTGGAAGAGCGAGGTGTTTCCCGGGAGATTCTGAGGCAGGAAGTTCACAGGTACGTTACTGCTGTCGATCACCCTTGTCCCTCCTTCATGTTTACCTTCGGTGTTGTTGGTAGAGATTCTTGCAACCGGAAGTTTTTCGTTCCATGATTGCAACCGGCGCCCTATTGTGGTTGTCTGTTGTCCTCGATGCTGTTGGTAGAAGTGCTTGCAACAGAATTCTTTTCTTCATGTTGACCTTCGGCAACGTTTTTTGTGCGTGGTGTTTGTTTTCCTGGACGCTGTTGTTCGAAGTGCCCGTCTCCATTCCTCCTCTGGCCGCATTCTTCCTTATCCTTCCCCCCGGGCGATATCACCGATCCCATGCGTTCTCTCGCATCTGAACGATACAGTCGTGGGCCCTCAATAAGGCGGGTATGCGCCAGACTGATTCACCCGCCCTGTACAGGGCACTCGCACCATTCGATGTATTTACCGCCTTGAATGTTCCATCTGTGCCAGACAATTTCCACCCGCCCTATAGCGGGCACCCGCCTTGTACATCCCGCCTTATAGAGGGCCTACGGCGGTACTCCGGACATCATTAGTTGTTGGTGGTGCTTGTTGTTCGCGGTGCTTTTGTTCGAAGTGCTTGTCTCCATTTCTCCTCTGGCCGTATCCCTTTGCTACGCTGCCCTTGCCGTGATGCAGGCAACCCCAGCTGCGCACCCGGAGCTCTCCACGCGCCCACGTGAACCTCTCCCTGAGGGACATGGCCCAACAGGTGCACCTAACATCCCGTATACGACACAGGATTACGCACCCCCTGGACCGATTTTCAAAGCTCGATTCTCAACAGGAGAGTCACAGCACCGAAAACAGCGGCGTTGGAACGGTCTCGTCGAGAGCTTTTCGAAAATGTATCGTTTCGTTTATCCTCTTCGTCGTGGAGTAATCGAGCTCTGAAAATCGGTCCAGGGGGTGTGTTATCTTGTGTCGTATACGGTAGATGCTTGTTATCGTTGTTGGTGCTGTTGCTCTATATTGTTGTTGCTGTTGCTGTTGCTGTTGCGATTGTCTAATTTCGCCCCACGTTTGAATCTGTGCTACGGTGATCGTTGTTGCTGTTGCTGCTGTTGACCCATACACACACCACCGTTTACTTTTTGATCCGGAGAATAGATTTGTCTCTCCCATGCCTCCCCCTCACGGGGTCCCATTGAATGGCATCTAGAAGTGTTTCGTGTTTTCAACCGCACTGAGACTGACGCCTTGGTCAGGCGGTTAGGGCGGTTGGTGCTAATAGTGTGAACAACCCCAGCGACCCCGGTCCTCGCAAACACCGGCAGCGCACAAACAGCAAAGATCGGGGAGCGGCCCCATGTTTGGGAATATTCCGCACACAGTACTGATCTACGGAGATACTGGGTGCTACGTGGGTGTGTTTGTGTGGTCAAAAGGCGGTTTGGAGACCTCCCCGCCCCGGCAGGGCTGCATGCTTTTTCTCGCAGCTCCCAATACTCTCATTCGAAATATAGAGGTCCCTGTTAAAGTGCCAGTATGTGCCCACAAAAATTCCCGGCAATATTCAAAGTACTTACAATGAATTGGAAATTGAGTGTGTGCCCGCCGAGAATATCGGCACTATACCGGGCATTGGCAATATTCAGCCGGCACTTAACAGGGACCTATACAATAACACTGTATGTACATGTTTGGTGTTTTCCAGCGGTTAGTGTCATACAGAAACAACAGATACTGAGGTACGAAGTACGGATGCGGTGCTGCAGGGGTCAGTCTCAGAGGGAGAATGGGGAAAGAAGGTCGACTGAAGGCTGAGATACCATTAAGTGGCACGGCGTGTAAGCGATTCCGAAGGGGGGGGGTCCCGCTGTATCATATACCCACTCCAGAGTCCCCTGTCGATGAGGGAGTATCGGGTGCTGCATAGTACCTACTCGTACAATCCTTGCCGTCATCGCTGCGATTTGGTTTGCGTGTCGCCACATCTACGATTATCGGGACAGCAAACAGATAGCCAAGAAACGAAGTTGTCAGTGGAAATGCGCTGGATCAACGCCACTTCGAAGCCCTTTAACGTGTGCCAATGACGGGCCTTGTGGGCTTCTACCGGTCTTTGAGGGTCTCAATTGTGCATCTGCATCCGTCCGTCCGCCCGTCCCTTTCTCTTGTGTGCGACCGATGGCGTATGTGCCGGAATTTTTTTCGGGGCTGTCCTGGATCGAACCTGCTCCGAAACCGTTCAAAACGGCACCGGACTTGGTTTCAGTGTAACGCTGAACTGCTGTGTGTGCTGAACCGTTCATCACAATAGTGCTTTTGTCTTCGGTCGATCTTTTGGTGGGCCACCAATTGCTATTTGGAAGTACGAAATGAATATGGAAACGAATCCGTCCGTCCTCCCTGTCTGTGTGATTGTATCCTCGCATCTATACCTGATGTTAGCTCTCCACCGACCGGGACTTCTACGTGCAAGGGAACGACGGTCAGCAGACGAACCTTTTCCGCGAGTATCAGGCAAGTGGAGTTCTACAACACACCCTTGCATACAACGCGCTATTTGGCACGTTATTCCCAGGCAATCGTATGTAATACACGTACCTACATCGCCTTGTTGTGTTGTGGTCAACGCCTTGTGTTTTAGTCCCAGGCAAGTTGGGTATTGCATACTTTCCGCGCTATGAGTATATTAGCCACAGATGCCAATCCTGATATCATACCTTTTCGCCCCTCTGTTATGTTCATGTTAGGGTTTCTTCCAGGTATTTATCTCGCTAAATAAGGACGCAACTCCTCCACGACTGATAGTCTCAACAGATCAGCAATTATCGCGTTTTGTGTCTCTGCAGTGTTCCCGTTGGGTGAGGAACACCACAAGTTCATCTCCTCCACAAGTGACAGGCTGCCAAAGACATGCGTAATTCACAGCCTCTGCCTCTCTGTTATGTTCCCGTTCGGGGTTTCCACGAGGACACACAATACTACGAGCCCGACCAGTTCATCAACTTCACAAGAGATAGCCTCAAGAGATCAGCAAATGAAATCATGGCGTTCTGCCCCTCTGTTATGTTCCCGTTGGGGTTTCCAGGTGTTGGAGGAGGCGTTGCATGTAACCGCCGGCTCCGGCACTGGGTTCGCCGCCGGGGGAAACCCCGCGTACGTACTGTCCCGCCTGAGCGTGCTGTCCGAGGACGATTTCATGTCCGCCTTCGACTACGCCGGGGGAGGCGGGTGAGGGAAATTCCTAGAAAGTTATACTCAAGTATGTGTGAAAATTCGTTGAAATTGACCATCTCCGGCTGAGCGTGCCGTCGGAGGACGACTTCATGTCAGCCAACGAATACGCCGGGGGAGGCGGGTGAGGGAAATTCCTAGAAAGTTATATGTGTGAAAATTCGTTGAAATTTCTGTCCATCTCGGACTGAGCGTGCCGTCGGAGGACGACTTCATGTCCGCCTTTGTCCGCCTTCGACTACGCCATGGCAGGCGGGTGAGGAAACTTATTGAGAAAATTCTAACTTGTAAAATTTCTGACCACCTGGGGAGGGGGGGGGAGGGGGAGGGGGGGGGGGGCGTACTCGTATGTTTTGTAACCACCTGGGGAGGGATTGCTGTTCTCGTTCAGTAGAATTCTGAATTTCTGACCATCTTGGAAAGTGAAGGTAGCTTGTTCGAATCGAGAACTTCCCGAATTCTTGGCCCTGGCGTATCAGGAAGTTTGGGGCTAGCTGCAGGTCCGCACTGCTGTATTTTTCTACTCCCGCTCCCGCCCTTGCCTGGTGATGTGAGAGCCTGGTCCGACGAGGACCCGGCATGCCCCGTGCCGTCATTGGAGGGATGCGAGGTCAATGGTCTTTCGACTACGGCATGCATGGCTATGAGTACACCCCCCGCTGTGACCCTGCTGCATCTCTTTGCATGTGTATACATTCTCCATTATATGTGTATGTAATAGGTATCCGGCAGGCCGCGACTGGGCCGCCGACCTTCCGACGGACGCGGCGATCGTGATGAAGCTGTTCGTGTGCTGCAGCGACAAGCTCTTGCCCAGGGACTGGGAGGAGGACAGGCCTTTCGCCAGGCAATTTTTCGTGGACAGAGCACCCTCGAGCCAAGATGCCCTTCCCGGCAGGTGGGTCTCGTACGATAACACCCCTCCTCCCCCCATGATACTGCGTCCCAAAACTCAACATACCAAACAAAAAATAAGGGTATGCGGTGCAGTACTGGGGTCGCTATCGTACAGGGGTGTGTCCAGTGATTTTATTTGGATCGAGGAATATATAGGTTTAGTGCACCAGCTGGAATCTGTGTCAGCAGATTCCACCGGCTCTATCCCTTGCACCTGCACTGTGGCCACCCCAGTACTGTAAACGTTTTCCCGCATATCATGTACGCACGTCGGGTATGCGATAAAAGTTATCCCGCACACGTAGGTACCCCTTCCCCCGGGAGTTATGTTTAGGGTCGGGGACCTTGCCTTGTCGACTGCGTAGAAGATTTAGGAAGGAAGGTTGACGTAGAAGACAAGCTCAAGCATGAGTGCGGCGCTGGGTGCGAAGAGCGCATTCATGCAGGTGGGGAAATGTCCGTTTTACGAAAACGAGAGAGAAATGAACGAACATGACTGGGCTGGGAAGAAACAGAAGGATTTTACAGAGAGACATGTCGGCAAACATTTTGGGCTTCCGAACGAACTGCTGGCTACATGTAAATGGATGGGTATGCTGCCCTGTGATGAGTGTGGGGGCCTCATGTCGCCTCATCTTCTTGGATCATGGGAGAGTATACTATCCTTCTTTTATGTTTTTGGCTCATTTTGACCCGTCAAACGCGTTTTGACACACCCCTGTAACGGATGTTCGTCCTGCCCTTCCCCGGCACACTGCTCCGTGCCCGAGGTTTGGCTGGAATTATCGGTCGTCCGTCTCGCAGTTGTGGAATAACCGTGCGTCTGGAACAATCGGTCGGGTGGACAGTTAGGGTGCTGGACCAACCGGAATGGTGAAACAGTCGGGAGAATGGACCAATCGGGATGGCAGATAAAGGACCAATCGATATTGTAGACCATGGGGATGCTCGAGGAATCGGATGATGGGCCAATCGGAATGGTGGAGCAAGAGGGATGTTAGAGCAAGAGGGATGGAGTACCAATCGGCACCTTCGACCAATGGGGAAGGCGGACCAATCGGGATGAAAGACAATCGGGCATATGATTGACTAGTCCGGATAAAAGATCGATCGGGATGGGGAAGTAGTCGGGATAATGGAGCGATCGGAACGGTAGACCAATCGGGATGATGAAACGGTCGGGATGCTGGAACAATCGGAACTTTGAAAAAATCGGGATGGTGAAACAGTCTGTATTATGGACCGATCGTGATGATATCCAAATTGGGATGCAATCGAGATGAAAACCCAATTCGGATGATGGGCCAGTTCTATGTTACGAAACAATCTTGTTTGTGGAACAGTGTTGATGGCTGGACAGTCCGGATGGTAGAACAATCAGGATGGCGACACGATCTCCCTCCCCCGCCTGCAGATTTTTCCTGACGCGTAACGAGGTGCTGCACCCGCCTCACTTTTTCGTGGTAGCCGACCAAGCACACTGGCACGCCCTTCCTGGCTCTACCAATGTTTTCCAGGTGGGTTCGGTTACGCTCGCTTTCAACCTCCAACAAACTGCCGATTTTGAGGCTGGCAGTTGCTTTGGAACTGCCGCTTCAAGCGGGCGCTCTATTTCGAGCCGGCGCTCGCTCTCTGAAGTTTTACTTTGCAGATGCTTCTTGTGGATTGCACCGGCCGGCGTGACTGGTGTTATTCAGTGTGAAGGCGTAAATAGGCTTAAAATATGCGGACTGCCTAGGCAAGTACTGTAATGTAAGGTACGAAAAAAAAGAGGACCACGGATGGGGCAAGCAGACCCAAACCCTAACCCCAACGTGGACGATTCTGTCTTTATCCGGGATGTTTTGCTTGCTTTGAAAAATGTGCGTGGACTGCGAAGTACGCCCGGTATTCTGCCGAGTTTTCTCCCAACTCACGGTAAAGACTACAACACATTCGGCTGTCCTGTCATATTTCGAACGGATATACACATTCGGCTGTCCTTTCATATTTCGAACGGGTGAGCACATTCGGCTGTCTTTATTTGTTGAACGAGTAACTTGTTTGTGATTGTCTGCATACACGTGTATAGAAGTACTTTTATATGTGACAAAACGAATCCGTCTCTATCCATAGAAATTAATCTAAGGTAGATTAACAATGAATTCGTAGCTGGCCGATTTCGTTTTTTACTTCCCCATGTCTGGCCCTGGTACTGGGGGCCACACAGACGAGGATCCTGGCCCTTGTGGTGTTTCTGCGTCACGTGGAGGCTAATTTTTGTTGAGAGCTCGTACTGTGTTGATCAAGCCTCCCCCGAAAGGGTGTTGCTCTTTTTTTTTTTTTGTGAGATTTCTTCATTGTTGGAGCTTGGTCATATAGCCATTGGGCGCGTGGGCAGAAGCCCGGTCTCTGCTCTCCGGTGATGCCTGTTTTTTTTCGTTCCTGTGGATGACCAAGTTCAGAAGGCACCGTACGTTGAGAACCTGGAAGTAGAGAGTTCGGGCTAGAAACGCGATGAGATTTTCGCTTGATGGTCCGTAAAGAATCCTGTAACAACCTGGGTGCCGTAGTTAGCATGAGATCTCTTGGACCGAGCTTCAAAGGGGATGTCAAGTTCAAACGAACCGATGCGTTTTAAGGAAATCTCCGGACGAGACGACGGTTTCAGCGCCATCATCGCCGTCATCATCGTATTTTGCTGGACAGGTTTCTGGCCTTGAAAACCGTGTGGTATCTCGTGCAACGAGCGGAAATGAGACGAGCTTGCGGTTTGATGTTTTGACAGCTCACAGCCTGTTGACGTTACTGCAGAACGTGAAATCTGATCATTTGCATTCACCGGCAATCACGCCCTTGCTGGATACGACTGACTGCGTGCGGAAATACGCAGGCATGCATAATGCCTCGCTAACGATGAGAGTACTTCTATAGCTATGCTTTCCTATTGGTTTGACACAGTTGCAAAATACTGTATATTGAACAAACCGATTGGGAAGCGTGCTGCAAGGCGCAGTCTACGTATCAAACCGTGACAGACCTCCTTACACACGCCGATTCCCGCTCCCCTCGTCACGCATGCATGCATTCACGACCAACGCCCGTTTTCTCTTCCTTTGCTGTCTCCGGCACGCAAACAAAGGCGATCGCGCTTTTCTTCCATGCAATCAAGACGCGCAAGTCGAGCTACCTCGGCCCAGGCATCAGCGTTGCCAACATCGTGAACGAGATGTTCGGAGCGGAGGAAGAACCAGTCGCATCCCCCCGCGGATTCTGAGAAAGAAGAACGTACAAACGCGTTTTTTTTTTTTTTTCCTGACGGGACAGGTGCTGGGTCAATTGAGTTTCCTGTCAACGGCGAAGCCCTAGTGGTAGCTTTCTCTCTCGTGTTGGACGCTTCCGTGTGTGTCACGGAGCGAGCTTGTTGTCTGGCGGGTTGTTGTTTGGTGGGCAGGCGATCTTCACGGTGATGGGTGGTATCGTTTGGGGATCTACCGTAGGGGCATGTTGCTCGAGTGCTTGCTTGACGATACTGTTCTCTCTCGGTGTCAATACACTGTGCCTGCGTATCTTTGTTGGTGGGTCGCCATGAAGAATGAACAGGAAGGACCGCCGACGCTCATTCCATCATCATGGACGCGATGTCCACCACAATCGGAGGAACAAAGTGTAGGCATCAACGTGGAAAAATGACGATAGATTGCCTCAGCGAACACGATATTTGATAACAAATGCGTGATGAGCATTGCTGACATCCAACAGCGGCGTCTAGCCAATCTGTTTGGCGACCCTTGCCATGATAAGCCGACAAGCCAATGTTTGTAAAGATCAACCACCAAGCAGTTTCACAGGGCTCATCTTGACATGCGTCCTTTGGCTGCAGTCACGCCAGGGTACTGTGGAGGAATGGTTGCACCCCCTGTCTGAAAATGACTATGGTGATATGCATATATCGCGTCATGAGCTGTGCTGCTTATCCTGCTTGGGAGGGGGGAGGGTATCATTGCAAGGGTCTGTCCCCCCTGGCGCATCGACCAAACTCCCCAGTTTGCCACAGTGTAATAGTTCCCCCTTTCCGTCAGCGATGTGACAAGGTAGTCTCCCATTTGGAGGGTGTAGTAATGGACTTTGCACGTAGGTTGACTTTTAGCGGGGTACAATTATGGTAAAACTACTGCTGTATTCGGTCTTGCTGCCGAAGGAGTGATGTGGCCACCGGTCGAGCGCGGGGTCTTCGCCACGTTTTGGTCGAGGTAGGCCGAGGTTGCACTTATGCATTCAATAGCGCACGTCTTCCTTGTTCAACGAGGTGCAACGATGAAGTGCACCAAAAATGGGCCTTCAACGGCTGCGCTTGCAGAAATGCGTTTTTGTTGGAAAACCATACTACAATCGTTATCAACACGATGCACACCCACATTCTCGAACCAATGTTCAGTAAAACAGCCCGGAGTAGTAGCATTAGACCTCGACGCTCGTGAACTAGGTACATCCATCCCCAACGCTCGACGGAAACCAAGCACCACGCGTCTCATGTGGGAGCTTGCCATGTCGGTACCTGCCGAGTTCGCAACCGATTCTTGTCGCGCTTCCTCTGGTTTCCCCTCTCCTTGGCGGTGACGCCAGCAATGACAGCACATATCAATCAGTGGACACCGACCGCCAGCGTTTAAAAAAGTCGTTGCCGCGTGGCGGCCCCGCATCGTTTTCGTGGCGATCTGGGATATTCGCAACGCGAGACGGGGCCTCCCGCGGCTTGCCGCTTTGCGGCGGAGAAAAAAATGATTTTCCCTTCACGAACAAAAAATGCATCATCTCCATTTCTCGCTGGGAATCATCATGTGTCTGTTGCAACCACACATGCAACGAAAGGTGGAAAACACACAAATTGACACTTTTATTATGTTTTTTAATTATTTTTTGCAAGATATACGCAGCAGATGGAAATGCTTTTCGTCCGAAAGTCTGCCTCCGGGAAGACCCCGACGGGATTTGGACTTAGGAATGCTGGGGGATTGAAGGGCCCCGCAGCCCCAAGTGGGCACCGGGGCCCGAATCACAAACCGAAGGTAGTTCAATTGAATAACTGGAAATTTGTGTGCTGCGTTGGGGTATGGTCGTACCCAACGTGTATAACGTTCCAAGTTGGCGTCTTGTTTGAGAGTAGATGTGACAGATTTGCGCAGAATAGGGTAAGATGTTATCATGAACGGAGAAGAAAGGGCTTTTCCAACACGGAGATGTAGCATGGATCAGAGCATTTGTTGGATTTCAGCTTTTACAAGAGGACATCAACGCAGTAGTATTTTAGCAAGCTTACGAACGCATGAAGGATACCATGAGGATTGTCATTGGTTTCATTTCAAATTTAAGAGGAGATATTTTTACGATGTAAGTGACAGTAGAAATAAGTCCTACATATGTTGTTGTTCTTCGTATTGGTTTAATGTTCATGTAGAGTATGAGGGCAAAAATAAATAAATATATATAGACTATATATAACTCGTCCATTTGAGTGATTGTCCTGACGACGCCGCTGAGTTCTGGGCGACCCGGTTGTGGCCTGTCAGGGCTGGACGGATGTGGTATAAGTTGTCTAAACGTTCATCAACCGATGTTGCATGTTGTAAGCATGTATGTTTGTTTTTGTGCTGTCGTCGCGACACTCGCGAGATGGCCATCGCTTCTTGCGTTTTTGTTTCCGCCTTATCTGCAAATCCACCTCTAAATAAAACTGGACGGTATGATAACTCTAGACGGCGAGGGCAGATAAAGTCCCAAGGGATGTTGGTATCCGTGACATCGTCGAGTTGTGGTGTAGTAGTGACGTGCGTTACTTCTCTTGGTTATGTGCGTGAAAGGTGAGTGGTAAATCCTTGATGCAGCTGAATACGTCGATGAGGAATCCCTTCATCAAAGGACCAAGTTGTTGAAATCGGGGTTCCGTACCAACAACTAACTGTGTTCCCGATTGTGCGGGCGTGATTTCATTCCCAGTTGTGCTTTTCCTGGTTGGCAACGTGCAGCCGGATGCCCCGCTCTGTGGGAAAAGTAATCGGAACGTCCACAGCAAATAGTCCTTGTCGTTAGCGGAGATAGATGATTTTTATCTCGCCGGTAAGTGTCCTGATCTGTCACGTGGCATGACCCCTTTAGCGCGTGTGTATTTCGACGGCCACTGTTTCCGCAGAAGGAGCATCAGGCGACGAAAACGCCAAGGAGTTGGATATGGTTCTGGATCGAGGCCTAAGGCGACAGGCGTAGAAAAATAAGAGCTGATTCTTCGGATTTTGGCGAGTGAGTGTTTTCTTACAGAAAAATGTGTCGCAATGCAGACAGTACATTTCGGATGATATTGCGATCATTGTGCAGTCTAGCCATGCCAGCTTTTTCTGGAGGAGGGAAATGAAACAGACATTAATGAAACATACGCACAACAATTGTATAGTACTAGGGTAAGGTGGCCGCCCGCCGTAGGCGGCGGAACGGCCACCCGGATATACGCACGAAGAAGGCCAATGAATGATTTGTGGATGTGAAGCGCGGGAAATAGAAAGGAGGATGCAGGTTATGTCTATTAAAGGAGGATGTGTCAATGATGATACATCCCGCGGCTTTGGTCACGACTGCAATTGAAACGCAGTGACATATGAGTGGCGATGAATGTGTAATCCTCATCAATTAATGAAAAGATCATTGGAAAGTATG